CACGGGCACATACCTTGGTTGCAGGCTCAATCTCTGGCCCTAGTTGGAGTGCATGCAGGAGGCAATCAATCAATGTGTCTCTCTCACATTGATGTTTTTCTCTCTCTGTTTCTCCCCCTCCCTCCCACTCTCTCTAAAAATCAATGGAAAAATATCCTTGGGTGAGGATTAACAAAAAATAATAAAATTAAAGCACAAATACCTTTAAAAAATATTTTAATCTGGTTATTTTTATAAAAATGTTATTTATATTAACATGCAATGGGTACAATGGGTACAATTTATTATTTTTAAATGAGTCAAGGAAAGACTTTTGAATCTTGTTTCAATTTCTAATAAGGTAAATATCAATATATAACTTACATAAACACAAGTTCTTTAGCTTCCATAGTAATTTTTAGAAGTATAAAGGGGTCCTGAGACCAAAAAGTTTAAGAACCACTGGCTTGTGGAAAAAGACGCATAAACCAGTCAGGGCTACTCCTGACCATTACAATCCCACAATTCCAACACCTTCTCAAATCTGTCCTGTCCCAGCTTCCACCCTCTGGTTCTACTATTGCTGCCACCACCATCAGCCTTGCGGGGAGGGGAACTTGACCTTCCAGCCTATTCCAAGGGAATGAGCCTCTCTTACCTCAGCAGAGCATGCTAGACAGTTCCCTTCCTGTTTTCAAAAAAACTCTCCCCTCTTCTATAAAACCATGATTGTGGGTGAAGTGACTGAGCACATTTGTTTTATCTTCCTAATATTTAAGAGGGGAGAAATAAGATGTCTGGAAGCATTATCTGCATTCACCTTTGGTCTTTGTGACTCGACCTATAATAGGAAAAACCAAAAGTTTTAGACAAACACATCATCTTTTTGCTTGTGGCCCAAGGCAGAATAGAACAGGGTCCAGTGGTTCATCCCAAATGCTCCCATCACTCAAATCATATTATTTCTCCCTGTTTTTAATAACTGTTCCTCACTTTTGGAATAATTTCCAAATTCCTAGTCCTGAAAATTCTTGCTACCTTCTCTCTCAGTGTTTGGCCATCCTATCTAAAATTACACACACACACACAAACACATATTCCATATCCTTTTTCCTGCTTTATATTTTCTCCTTAGAAGTTAACATAAAACAAACTTTATATTTTATTTGTTTACTGTCTGACTGCAGTATTAGAGTGGAACAACCAAAAGGCAGAATTTTTGTCTGCTGTATTCACTGCTGTATCCCCAGCACCTAGAACTATGCCCAGCACAAAATGAATTATTTGTTGAATGAATGAATGAATGAATGAACAAGCCAGGGGTTCCTGGCCTGTCATATTCTGCATTCTCCACCATACCATAGAAACTTCAAAGGCCTCTCACCCATTCCTGACTTAAAACTGTCCCCAGGACAATTCCAGAAACTTGAAATGTCATTTCCCATTCAAGCCATCAAGCCCCTTGCCTCCCCCAGTTGTCTGTTTAAACCAGGCTCCAAGTCTATCAAGTTGATCTTACTACTCTCATCTCTCTCCCATCATCTCCATCACTACTATTGTTACCTTGGCTCAAGCTACCATCAGTCCTGCTTGGATTTACTGAAACAGCTAATTTCCAGTCTCATACCTTCTAATACAGTCCCTGGAACTGAAAGAGTTAGCTTTCTAAAACTGCAAATCAGATCACTTAAGCCTCCTGCATAAAACCTATCAGTGGCTCCCCATTACCTATAGGACTGAATCCAAACCCCTTCCCAAGTGACCCACAACCCTCCTTGTCCTAATGAACTACTTACAATTGCCCAACCCACCAAGAAACACAACCTCAAACCTTTGCCCATACTATTCCCACTGCACCAAATGTTCTGCTTCTATCTACCTGGAGAGCCACTGCTCAATCTCAAAACTCACCCCAAGTTCATGCACCTCCCTAAAGAGTTCCTGACTCTACATACTCTATAACATTTATAACTGTGAGCTCAAGGAGGTGAGGAACTGTCATGACTCCATCTGTGCATCCTCAGGGCCAGGTGTATTGTAAGAGCACAAAAGATTTCCAAGGGAGCCGAAACCGGTTTGGCTCAGTGGATAGAGCGTCGGCTTGCAGACTGAAAGGTCCCAGGTTCGATTCCGGTCAAGGGCATGTACATGGGTTGCGGGCACATCCCCAGTGGGGAGTGTGCAGGAGGCAGCTGATCGATGTTTCTCTCTCATCGATGTTTCTAACTCTCTATCTCTCTCCCTTCCTCTCTGTAAAAAAATCAATAAAATATATTTTTAAAAAAAAAGATTTCCAAGGGGTGAGTGAATGTGCATAAATAATCAAAGTCCACCTTCCACAAAGCCTGTTTGGATAAAATAGAGGAGTAGCTTCCTTTCATGCTGCCAGGCTAGTTCAGGAATCCCCAGTTTACTCTACCCATGTTCATTTCTACAGAGCCCTCTACTGGGTATTTTTAACCCCATATTCTGAAAAGGGGATGAGAGGGAAAGGCTAATGCCCAACATTGTATAAAAAATATCTACCACAAATCCAAAGACAAGCTAAAAGAAATCTTACATATATAACCTTAACCCCATGTATGAAAAGCGTTTTCTACACACCATGTGATCATCTCAATTTGGCAGATTTGAATGTCTGGAGAATCGAACTGTGCAATTTCAAAAAGGGGCAGGAAGTTGTGTAGACATCCTCTATTAGTGGAGTCCTGTCCACAAAGATTTTCCAAATAAGCAGAATACAGCAAAATTCATGGTCTCAGGGAAACAGTTAAAGAAGGGAATACCATGTAAAGAAATCACTGGTTTAGCTAAGCTTTGTCTTTCC